TCTCCCCAAAACCCCAAAACCCCAAAACCCCAAATGATAATGACATGATTGAATTTAAGAAAATATTTTGATTCTATTGCGGTGAATGCTTCCTTCTGAGAGATCAGTGTTTTTTAAATCATCCATTATTCTTCACCTTTTTCTTGCTTGTCAAGTAAGGATAGCATATTTATCAAGTTTTCATTAGTTGTCAAAGAAGCAGTAGATTCATCAATAGACTTATTCAATGTTGCAAATAAGAAGGTAGACAGCTGATTGTTGATATAAGTGACCTCAGTAGCAGTATCATAGTTCCTAATTCCGCTCTCTAAAGCTTTGAATTTGGTCATCCTTCGTTTGAAAATCCTCCGAGAATTTTCTAGATATTTCTTCATACCATCTTGTTGTTCTATGATATTCTTAGATTTAATAGAAGCCTTAGAAGTTCTATACTGAATCAGGATAGCTCCGGCAGCTTCTTTCTTCATCAAATCCCTGTTTATCAACCTGTGGATGAGGTTATATGCATTTTTCTGAGGAACATTGAACTCAAGGGCATCAGAAACTGTTACAACGAACAATGAGACCAAAAGGACACCCCACAGACTAAATCCAGATACCCAGGGCTCTCCCAATATGAGATTTTGGGAATGTGTCTCCATACCCAACAGTTGTCATTGTGACAATAATATTCCACATTGCAGTATCAATCCGGTTAAAGTTTTGCCCTGTAGCTTCAGACAAAGGACGTTCGAAAATCCTAAGCATATAAGCACAAATAATGGCACTGACGAAAATTGTTGAAATGAGAGTAAGATTTGGCTGTTGCTTAAAACTGCTTCTGACGGCGAACATCAAATCTGAATAGCAGCCATTCATTTTACAGACTCGTTGAGATCTAGGGGCCATCCACTTAGTTAGCATAAGCATAGTTCTGACGGTAACATATCATTTGACCCACACAAAGCAGCATAGGATTTGGTTAATTTCATATGTAATGATCACATCATTGTCTGTATTATTCTCTTCATACTGAAGTCCTTCGAAAAAGTACTGAGGAGCCACCATTGACCAGAAGGCTTCTGCTCACATGACTTTATAGTACCCACTTGACCAGATAGTCTCATCATGTAACGTATAAAGCTTGCTCTTCTTCCATTTCAAGTGAGTCATGTGTCTTAGGACGATGGAACAAGTCAGGCCGATAGAGGTGAGAGTTGAGACAGCCAATGATTGCTGGATGAACCCATCGTCCTCCCCATTTGTATTATTATATGAAACCTCATAAATTATGATGCTATTTCCAAGCTGAAGAATAGCCCAAAAGCTGGCTAATATCTCGATAGCTCGTACTTTATGAAAGTACTCATTACTCTCAGAGATATTCTCAGAGCGGATTTTCTTCTTATTTCATCTTCCGTTCCTTAAAAATTTCTTCTTCTCCTCTTCCTCCTATAGAAGCATTACTCTGGTCTAATTGATTCTCCTTTGTTGGAAGGATGTTCTCTGTATGGATCATTTTATCCTCAGTTTCAAAGACACCATCCGACAGAATAGACGGTCTTTTGTTAGCAGTCTTAGGATTCTTCGAAGAACTTCCAAAAATGTTCTTATCCTCCATATTTTTATAATTTTCAATCCTAAAATAGCTTAAAGGGGTTTTGGGGTTTTGGGGTTTTGGGGTTTTGGGGTTTTGGGGTTTTGGGGTTTTGGGG